TATTTTCCCCATATAAAAGTATTTCCCTTAAGACTATTTTCTGCAGTATAATTCATTAATCCAGTTGAATTCGCCGTAGTTGAAAGTTATTTTACTGACACTGTGTAATCCTAGGCTTTGGGAAAATTGCCTCTCATTTCTGTGCCTCAGTTTCCTTAGCTTTGTCTAAGAGTATTGCTTCCAGGCCTGACATTCAATAATTTAATTTCTTTAAAGAAAAGTCTAAATATTAAGGTGCCATATTCTAATGTCAATTGTTACTATTACAGTTAATTACAATTTGTTACATAATCCATGACTTCTCCAAGGGTAATATGAAAACTTAATGAATACTAGAAGGGTGAAGTAGGCAACTTATCTATATTATAAATAATCTTGCCTCATTTACTGAACTCTTCAGGTAAAATTATCTTATTTATTTTTAATTAATTTTTATTTCAGAAATAACAAGCATTTATTATCTCCCTCTCCCACATTCACTCCACCACCACTGGAAAAAAGAAAGAAAGAAAAAGAAAACCTAGTAACAAATATGCATAGTCAAACAAAACAAACTCCCACATTGGCCAGGTGCAAAAATATGTGTCTCATTCTACATATGTAGTCCATGACTTCTCTGTCAGGAAATTGGTAACACATTTCATAATTGGTCCTCTGGAAACATGGCTGGGAGTTGCATTCCTCAGCCCGCTTAAGTCTTTCCAAATTGTTCACTTTTACAGTGTTGTTATCATAGCACATATTGATCATCAGTTCTTTGCCCCTTTTCTCTTCCACTTAGCTAGATCCCAATCATAAGTTCTTGCCCTTTGTTTCTTTCCTTTTAAACCCCATCTTCACAGTCCCCTCTCTGAGTTTAGGGTTTGTTTTGCTTATGAATAATCTCTCACTGAATTTACTCTGCTTCTTCCACCTTTCCCCTCTCCCTTTTCCCTCCTGTCTCTCTGCAGAGTTGAATATATTTCTATTCCAAAATCTTGATGAGTACCTATTGGACCCTCTTTTGATCAGTTCACATGAACATGAGGGAGGTTCAAATGACTTTCTATGCCCCTACTCCTTCCTTGTTTGTATAGATTTCTACCTGTACCTTCAATTATGAGTTAAAATCTCCTTCATTGCTTCTCCTTTTTCCTTTTGTATACTTCCATCCCCTCCATCTCCCTTCTTCTTTTGATAGCATCAAAACATAGTAAAATCACTCCCAGGCCCTCTGTCTGATTAGACTCCTCTATGACCCCTAAAGACATTAGGGGTTTGAAAGGACTCTTGTATTATTGCTCCCTACCTCCTTTAGAATGTAAGCAATCCACTTTTTTTGTTTCCCTTTACTTTTGTGTTTATATTTCAAAATTCTACTCAGCTTTGGTCTTTCTGTCAGGAATACTTAAAAGTCCTCTATCTCATTAAGGTTCATTTTTCCCCTGTGAGATTATATTCAGTTTTGTAGGTAAGTTGTTCTTGGTTATAAGCCTATATCTTTTGCCTTTTTGAACCATTGTATTCCACAGTCTCCACTCCTTTTAATTAATAGCTATTAAATCTGTGTGATACTGACTATGGTGTCACTTGACCTCTTCCTTGCCACTCTCAGTACTTTTCCCCTTTATTTGAATTGGAAGCATTGGATTTTGACTATTATGTTCCTGGGAATTTTCATTTTGGGGTTTCTTTCAGGAAGTGATCAATAAGGCTGTTTTTTTTTAAATTTCTACTTTGCCCTCTTCTTCTAATATGTATGGGTAGTTTTTCGTGTTTTATTGAAATATAATATTCAAGCTCTTTTTGGGGGTCTAGTTATGGCTTTCAGAACATATCTTAATTTATATCTCAAGTTATACTTCCTTGAACTGTTTTCTAGGATAGCTATTTTTGAGAAGGGATACGTTACATTTTTCTTTTTTTTAAATACAATTTTGACTTTATTTTAACATTTCTTTTTGTCTCAGAGAGACATTAACTTCTGTTTGGTCCATTAGAATTTTCAGCTTATCTATTATTCGAGTGAGATTTTGTACCACTTGTGCTAATTTGTTCAATTCTCGCTCCAAGTCTTTCCTCCAAATCTTTCATTTCCTTTCCACTTCTTTCCTCTCTCACTTTTGTTACATTTATATCATTTTTAAACTTAAAAAAACCTCTTGCTTTATTTCTTCTAGGATTTCTGATTGATCTTGTAACCAAGCTGTATTTTTCCTTGAGACTTTGCTTGTGCATGTTTTGGAGTTATTCTCCTCTTCTGGGTTGTGTCTTGGGCGTCTTTGGCATCATAACAGCACTTTATCCTTTTCTGTTTACTCATTCTTCCTGACTTACTTTTCTTATTGGGACTTTGTGTTAGGGCCAGGCTCTGCATACTTCTACTGGGACTGTTGTAGCTTTGTATAGTCCTGGCCTGTCTCATACTCCACTGCTGTTGTCATGAAAGCACGTCTCATAGGTTCATCCATTTTGGACCTTGCTCAACCTCCTTATTTTTCATAGGAGGAAAATGAGAACCAGGGAAGTTACATGACTTTCCTAGACATTCCTTCCTGCTCTAGATCATGATCTTAGAATCCTATGTTCTCACTAACTGGGGTTCTTAGCTTACCTTGTATTAAAGACCCCTTTGGTAGTCTGACCACCATCTTCAGAGTTATCTCAAAACTATCTTTTAAAATTCAAATAAATGAAGCACATATATCATTTCTTAACTTCCTATAGCTTGGGTAGACTTGGTTATTCTGTCTGAAGCCAAGATCTATTTATAGAGATAGTGCAATTTATTATGTTCCATAATGTGTGACCAAGTGCTAAAATCCCTCCAGGAAATCACTAGCGGCAGGCCTGAAAACTTTGCGGTCCCATGTGAATCCAGCTCTGTGAAGCCATAATTGAGCAATCACACTGTATTAAGCACTATGTGTATTAAGTTGCATGGAAACCATGTTAAGTTTATTTCTGATTCTATGGTGCCCTTTCGCTTACTGAACATCAATATTTCATTATTACAACTTACTGCACTCAAGTTACCATCTCTCCCACTCTCCCTCTCTCCTTCTATTAGTGGAAACAGCAATGTATTTGGAATCAGAGAACTCAAGTACAAATACCACTTCTGAGATTTACTATCTTATTGAGACTCAAGGGCTCTTATTCTGGAATCTAGGAACTTAATTTTTTTTATAATTATGTTTCAATATAGTTTTCTTTTGGAATTCTATGGATTTCTTTTATGTATTTAAAAACATTATTCTGAGGAGTCCATAGGCTTCATCAGACTGCCAAAGGGGTCAATGACATAAGAAAGGTTAAGAATCCCAATCAGTGTGAAAGTAGGATCATAGGATCATGGGTCCAGAGGGGAACAGACCTCAAAGGCTGTATAGTCCAATCTTGGGCAAGTCACATAACTTCTCTAGGCCTCAGTTTCCTCATACCTAAAATGATGGGGTTGAGCTAAATGACCTTGAAGTTCCTTTAAAGAGTCTTTTAAAAAGCGATACCTATATATTATTTCATGATAACAGTTGCTCTGAGGGAAAATATGTCAGCTTGAGGTATAATTTGAGGGTCAGAACAGGGAGGTGATTACGGAATTTTAGAGCCTGTCTTGAATTTTAAATTCTGCTACTGTAATTGTGGCTTTTTTTATCTCCTGTCAGAGAAATAGATTATAGAATAATCCACTCAATAATCTTGGTAATGTCCAAAATCATAAAATGTTAGAGCTGGAAGGGATTTTAGAAGAGAAGATATTGTCATATTGAACATAAAATGTGAGAAACAGAGAGATGAATTAGATGGTTTGTTTTTTTTTTTTACATTCGGGGCCTGCTTGAAAGGATTCCAGAACCCTAGGCAGCAGGACAGGGTCTGGAAGAATGGGTGTACGTTAATGCTCTGGACCCCAAGACGTTATCCCCATCCCCACCCTTTTCTCCTTCCTCCCAAAGTTTCACCTACATGTTCATTACACTCAATGGGCCTGGGCCCCTTCTCTTCCTCCACCTCCCCCCCTTTCCAGTCACAGCAAGAGGAGACAATTGGGTTGTGATTATGACATCCCAATAAGCTCAGCTCTTCCTCTCCACCCCTCCTACCTCCCATATTTGAGAGGAGGTGCCTGCAGGACTTCTTTCTCTATCAAGCCCCCTTTCCATTCTTTGTGGAAAAGAGGTCAGACCCAGCAAAGACCTTTCTCCTGTGGTCAATCTTCTTTGTCCATAAAGCAGTAGTGCTTAGGGAGAGGAAAAAGCTATTCATTCACCAAAGCCACAGGATTTCTGACTCTGAAATAAAGGAGCAAGTTAAGACTAAGACTCAGCACCCCCTAAGAAAGGCCAAGATGAAAGGAGCTAAAATAGAGGAAAAGGACGGGGACCGAGACTTGGCCCTGCCAAGGCAAATATTAAATGAACCCACAGCCTTGTCATGACACTTACTGCAGCAATCTGCATACTCTGTGAATTCTAGGAATTTTTACATGAGAAAGAGATTTGATCAGATTCTCCTACCCGTATCAAGGCAGCACAGCCTTCTCCAAATGAGTGATTATGTGGTAACTCAGCATACACACTATAAAAATGTGGAATCAGACTGTAGGCCTATCTATTGTATTGTGCTTCTAGAAAGATCAACATTACTACAAAGTCCTGTGGGTAGAGTAGGTATTGCTAATGTGAAGAAACTATGGAAAAATGTTTTCCCATGAGAAAGAACACTATCCCTAAGCAGCATAATGGAAAGCACCTGTTTATCTTGTAGTAATTAATTGTCTGGGGAACCTCACATAGAAAGTTCAGGTGTACCTCAGGGCAAAAATAAGAATCTAGCTCAAAATTTCAAAGTATCATTTAATATGCAAATGTTCATTGGTATCTCTGCAGTGCTGTGATAGAGCTTTGGATTACGACTCAGGAGACCTTGGTTCCAGTTTTACCTCTGTCTGGGGGTATAATAGACCCTCCCACAAAAGTGCCTTCTATATAATCTGATGCCATGTTTTCATTTTACAGGTGAGCAGCACTGGACTTAGCAGCAAGGACAAGTGAGTTCAAATCCCATCTCTGACAATTAAAACTATGTGATCCTAGGGAAATCTTTCAACTTCTTGGATGATTAGTTTCCTACTCTGTCATGTGAGTGGGTCGGACTTGATTATGTCTAAGTTCCCTTCGGGCTCTAAATCTATGGTCTTATGATAAAAAACTAAGACCCCCAAAAGGCTAAGTGACTTTTCCAGGATCACAGATCTACTAAGTTGCAGACCTGGTGCTAGAATTCATATTTCTTGTCTCTTAGCCCCACATTGTCCTAGTCAATCCCAATTGTCACAGCTGATTTAGATACTTCAACTAATAGCTACAAGGATCATCTAACCATTGCAAAGAGACTATTAAAAATAAAGAAGGGATGGAGTTGGGATTTGTGCATTCTTAACATTTTTACTTAGGGGCCCAGAATAGTAATTTCTGATGCTTTCCTTCAGGAAAAAAGCAGGGATTTGCAACATGAATTCTCTAATTTGATCTTTGGCACCAATTAAATCCACAAAAGAACTGCTTAGCATCCATTTTACTTTGTCTATTGTACTTCAAAGTTAAATCACCCACCAACAATTCAGTTTTTCTTCTTTCATTTTCTTTCAAAAAAAAAAAAAGCAAAGGAAAGCCTTCAATAATGCATGGGTCTCATGAATTTCTGGAGGGGTGTGAAGCATTTGAGCAGGATAGGAAGGTGTGAATGAGCCGCAATCTGCACTGGTAGAGAGGGCATTCACACCACCGAGATCATGCACTCTTCAAAGTATGAAGTGTTTATTTTCCATTTCAGAAATCTCAGCTGCTCTAGTTTAAAAAAAATTAATATGCAAACCCTGATGAACTAAAAAGGCTCCAGGGTACAAAAATGTTCATGATGATTATTTTGACTCATAATGCTCTTTTGGAACAATTTTTAATTAAGTGAGATGTGCCAGTGACTTCACCTGAGTTCACCAACTTCCTCTCAAAGTCCACTGATTAAAGGAGGCCCAAATGTGTAACCACAAACAGAGCACATGACATTACAATACAAAGGACTGTCTGTTGCTATTTTTAAATAATGTTTATTAGAATCTGTTGGCATGCAATAAATGTAATTTATAGTAGCCTGTAGCCCGACTGACAGAAGATGTCCTATGGTTTTGCTCATTAACACACACAGGGGAAAAAGGGTATCCTTTTAATACTTTCCTTCCATTTCTCCTTTCTAGGAGATCAAGATTGCGAAACTCTTGCTAGGTAGAATTTCTTATCCACTTCAACACAGATGATCCTAAATGTTCAGAATCTCTTAATTATAACAAAGGAACATAATAATAATAATAATAATGAAAAGTACTGGCTCTTACCAGGAAGTAAACAAATTAATACGTACAAGTGTGTAGGGGGGAACCTCACGTAGAAAGTTCAGTTGTACCTCTGGGTAAAAATAAGAATCTAGCTCAAAATTTCAAAGTATCATTCAATATGCAAATGTTCATTGGTATCTCTGCAGTGCTGTGATAGAGCTTTGGATGAGGACTCAAGAGACCTTGGTTCCAGTTTTACCTCTGTCTGTAACTCACTCTATGACCTTGAACAAAGAAGGCACTTCTCTCTCGGGTTATTTTCCTTCTATGAAGAATTAGTAAATTAACCTAGAAATGATCCTTTCATTCTTTTTCAATTATAACATTTTAATACACCCCCATCCCTACTTTCACAATCAGAAAAGCCAAATCTAAGACCAAGCATCCCAATCCAATGACCCACAAGTGAATTCATGGAATTCCTATTGAGGTAGTTAGGTGGTATCAGGAAGTTTTGAGTTCAAATCCAGACTCAGACACTAGCTGTGTAATCTTAGGCAAGTCACTTAAATCTCTGTTTGAATCAGTTTCCTCAACTATAAAATGTGGATAATAACAGTACATTCCAGGGTTTTTGTGAGGATCAAATGAAATAATATTTGTAAAGTAGAATGCATAGTGTCTGACACATAATAGTTCTACTTCTGGCTTCATTTATTTTATTCATGTAAAAGCTTTTTATTATTTTACGTGGACAAAAGTAAATTTTTTTTATGATTTGTTCTATGTCTTGTTGGTTAGGAATTCTCTCTATAGTCACAGTTATGAAAGATACATGGTTTTGTTCTTTTTTAATTTTTTTCTCTTTATTAGTTTATTTCGATTTAACAACAATCACTTCTATAAGCTTTCGAGTTTAAAATTTTTCTCCCCCTCCCTCCCCAAGACAGCACACAATCTAATATAGGCTATACATATACATTCCTATTAAACATATTTTCACATTAGTGATATTGTAAGGAAGAATTAGAACCAATAGGAGGAACCACCAGAAAGAGGAAACAAAACAAAACAGAAGAAAAAGTAGCAAACAGTATGCTTCAATCTGCATTCACATACCATAGTTCTTTCTTTGGATGTGGATAGCATTGTCCATCATGAGACCTTTGGAGATGTCTTAGATTCTTGCATTGCTGAGAAGGGCTAAGTCTACCAACATTAGTCATTGTACAAGGTGGCTGTTACTATGTAAAACTTTCTCCTGGTTCTGCTCACTTTACTCAGCATCAGTCCATACAAGTCTTTCCAGGTTTTTCTGAAGTCTGCCTGCTCATCATTTCTTATAGCACAATGGTATCCCATTACATTCATATACCACAACTAGTTCAGCCATTCCCCAATTAATGGGCATACCCTCAATTTCCAATTCTTTGCCACCATAAAAAGAGCTGCCATAAATATATTTGTACATGTGAGTCCATTTCCCATTTGTATGATCTCTTTGGAATACAGACCTAGAAGTGCTGTTGCTGGGTCAAAGGGTATGCACATTTTTAAAGCCCTTTGGGCATAGTTCCAAATTGCTCTCCAAAATGGTTGGATCATTTCACAACTCCACCAACAATGCATTAGTGTTCCAATTTTCCCACATCTTCTCCAACATTTATCATTTACCTGTTTTGTCATGTTGGCCAATCTGATAGGTGTTATATGGTACCTCAGAGTTGTTTTGATTTGAATTCCTCTAATCAATAGTGATTTAGAGCATTTTTTCATGACTATAGATGGCTTTAATTTCTTCATCTGAGAACTGCCTGTTCATATCCTTTGACCATTTATCAATTGGGGAATGACCTGTATTGTTATAAATTTGACTTTAATTCTCTATATATTTTAGAGATGAGGCCCTTATCAGAGATACTGGTTGTAAAAATTCTTTCCCAATTTTCTAGTTTCCTTCAAATCTTGGTTGCATTGGCTTTGTTTGTGCAAAATTATCCATTTTGCATTTCGTAATGTTCTCTATCTCCTGTTTGGTCATGAATTCTTCTGTTCTCCATACACCCTGATAGGTGAACTATTCCTTGTTCTCCTAGTTTGCTTATAGTATCAGTTTTTATATCTAAATCATGAATCCATTTTGACTTTATTTTGGTATATGGTGTGAGATTTCGATCTATGTCTAGTTTCTGTCATACTCTTTTACAGTTTTCCCAGCAGTTTTTGTCAAATAATGAGTTCTTATCCCAGAAGTAGGGGTCTTTGGGTTTATCAAATAGTAGGTTACTATAGTCATTGACTACTGTGTCTTGCATACTTAACCTATTCCACAGATCCACCACTCTGTTTCTTAGCCAGGACCAAGTAGTTTTGATAATTGCTACTTTATGATACAATTTAAGATCTGGAGTGGCTAGGCCACCTTCCTCTGCATTTCCTTTCATTAGTTCCCTTGATATTCTGGACCTTTTGTCATTCCAAATGATTGTTATTATTTTTTCTAGCTCTATAAAATAATTTTTTGGTAGTTTGATTGGTGTGTCACTGAATAAGTAAATTAATTTGGGTAGAATTTTCATTTTTATTATATTAGCTTGGCCTACCCATGAGCAACTGATGTTTTTCCAATTATTTAGATCTGACCTTATTTGTGTGAAAAATGTTTTGTCATTGTGTTCATATAGTTCCTGGGTTTGTTTCGGTAGATAGACTCCTAAATATTTTATAATGTCTACAGTAACTTTAAATGAAATTTCTCTTTCTATGTCTTGCTATTTTTTAATTTTAAAAAAATGAAATAACTTTTTATAGGCCATATATTCATTTTGAGCTTGTTGTGGTGTATGGTATGAGATTCTGGTCTAAGCCTCATTCTTTCAAACTGCTTTCCATCTTTCCCACTGATGCTTGTCAAAAACAAAGCTTTGGTTTTATTTATTTTTTTAAATCTTTCCCCAAGCAACTTATATTCTTGGACTGAGTAAGTACTGGGCTATCATTCTTAATTGTTTCTTCTTTGTGCTGATTCAAGTTGTTCCATTGAACTTCTGTTGGTTTTATTTTTTCCCCAATATGGAATGTTTCTCATGCCTATTGCTTTTCAATATAGTTTGAGATCTGATAATGCTATGACACCTTCATTCAAACTTTTTTCTATTTCCCTTAAGATACTAAATTTTTTATGCTTCCAAAGTAATTTTGTTATTCTTTTGTGAAGTACAAAATTGTTCCCTTGGTAATTTGATTGATAGACCACTAAATCTGTGAGTTGATTGAACTAATATTGTCCTTTTTATTACATTGACATGGCCCAACCATGGGCAATGACCACCTCTACAATTACTTATGTATCTTTGTATTTCTGTAAAGAACGTTCTGTAGTTATATCTATATAAATCTTGTATGTGCCTTAGTAGGTTAACACAGATATTTTATGCATTTCTAATTATTTTGAATAGAATTTCACCATATAACCAACCTCCATTCTCTATTTCTCTGAACTGATTCATCAACCCATCTTAAACACATAATGACAGGTATGGAAGGCTTTTTCTGGATAGAATGGTCACGAGCAGCCAAATTACCACAATTCACTCTCAGATTCCTAGAGATAATTTTGGTGTCAGGTGACATTCATGTCTCTGCCTCATGCGTTCCCACCAATGTGCTTCCCATTTATACAAATCAGTCATAATGCCACTAACTCTAAAAAAAAT